GAGAGAGAGAGAGAGAGAGAGAGAGAGAGAGAGAGAGAGAGAGATGAGCGATACAACTTTGGTTGTCACGTACCTGTGAAGAGTGTCGTGCAGTCCCACGAAGTGAAGAGGCGGCCATAGCCGCGGAGCTCCACCACAGAGTGACGAAAGGGGTGAAAGAGAGGACAGATCACGATCGCTGACGAACCCGGCACCTCCAGTATCGGGATAGGCAAGGAACCTTCCTCTTTTCAAGCACCTGAGCTGGCAGGAATTTCCGACACCATATCTGGGAATCCCCCTGTTAGTCAGATGCGAACGGGAGACTTCCACTACACCGCAATGATAAGATGACGTACACATGGAACTCCGGGTACTTCGAGCCTTGGGTAAGAGAATATCTTAGGCAGAGACGCCCAAAATTCCCCTGCCTAACCGAGAACCGATTGTGCCCCAGAGAGTTCCACCGTGCCGTAACTAGCGACCCGAGATGCCCCGATTATCCGACTACGTATAGCACGCAATACTTCATATCCCCCGGCTTCGTCGTTATCACTACCGATTTCCCTCCCTTCTCCCTCCTCCCGTACCATCAACTCACGGTGGTGCCGTGGAATTCCATCGCCCCGTATTGGCCCCGCGCGCCTTGCAGAAATTGCAGATGACGGGGCAACGAACGAACCTCTGAAACCACGGCGCCGAACCGGAACGCGCGACGACAGATGCCACGTGTCTGCACCCGAAGGTCCGACTCATAAGAATCGCAACCCTCACGAACGGGCCTCTCTCGAACCGCAATCACCAAAGTAGACTGATCGGACGACCTTGTATGTACCACGCATGCCATCTGCCTTATGCTACATGACATCAACCGTCATCAAACCGGGAGTAGCCCGCCCCTTATCTCTATTGCATCTATGCCCCTGGACCCTTGCCACAGGAGATCTCAGTTCCGACCTTGGACTCCACCCCCACTTTCCCAAAAATCCTTGGCACACCCCTTTTCGCACTTCCAGGCCCACATCCCACTCCGAACAGGAAGTCGCGTTGGGCGTGAGGTTGGTATCGGAGCCCGACACGTGGCAGGGTTCTAGGACTCATAGCTGGGCGATGTGGCTAACAGAGGACGACCTCGACCCCGGAACGCGCGTCGACGCGACCCCGTCGTTACTAGAAGCCGGTCTGCGGTCCGGCGGGCGGTCAACATGAACGCTAATCAACAGAACCCCAACCAACCGACAAATCCTAATCAACCCGCACCACGAGCACAGGTTCCCATGACGCCACCCGATCTCTATCTGTTTGACCCTGCACATAATCACACTGGAGCGTTGGAACCCCCTGGGCATCACATATGTGACGAACCAATTTCTGTTTTGCGCGATTTTCTGCGCAATGACAATGAGGGGTCCTAAGATGGGAAGGTTGGGCCAATTACGGGAGATCGGGATTGAGGGGAAATTGCATCGGTGTCCTCGCTTCTTCGTCTTTTTGCGTCCCGCCTTTTCGAATGGTTGGGTTCAGGGCTGGGCAAGTCCTAGGATGATCGGTCGAGTGGCGTGCCGATGTGCACGCGAGTAATAAGGGTTGACGTCATCTCTTTTCGTTCTGTTTGTCGGATTTTAGGCGCAGAGATCGCGCGGGAATTTTGCTTCGTTCTTTTTGAATTTTCTTTTAAATTCCTTTTAAATCTTGTCGAGCCTTGACGGCTCTCGAAACTTCGGACTTTCCTTCCGGAATTTGTGCTTTTTGCATTTTCATATTAGATAGGAATTTTGGAATTTAGGATTTCCTTTTGCCGCGCAACGCCTTCTGCTTGCGCGCTTTTTTTTGCGGCTGCAACAGAGCTTTGATTAGTCGGCGCCTTTAATCTTGCAAGTAACTGTAATTTTGGGCGGGCGCCATTGTAAATGTATCTTTCTTCGTGAGCTTCGTCTTTCCCACTCTCTCTTTCCCTTTTGCTGTGCCTAGTTAGCCCGCCGCCTGCATGCTCGGATCGATGCGTGGAGAGTGGCTACGTCCCCCACTCCGCGGTCTGGCCATGCAGAACGTAGGCGCTCCCTCTCCTAATCTCCTTTCTAAATCCTTGTAATTCCGTGTTCTTCGCGCTTGCATGCACGCTATAAATTTCGGTTGCGTGATTTGGAAACTCTCTTAACCAGATCCTGGAAGTTCGGGGTAGCGTGATCAGTGAGGGTCGGCTCACGAGCGAAGTAAGAGGTGAGTTGAAGTGGGAGCCGAGCGACCGACGAGTTGGTGCCGAATGCGCGGGGTTGACGTGTGGGGCTACGACAGACTGTAGCGCGTGGGCGAACCCGACGGGTGCAGGAGGACTAAGCGGGGTGACGGCTTCGTGGGTTGGTGCGTGACGACAAATTGTCCGCATCAAAGAGAGGGAGAGAGAGCTGAGATTGATGGACGTGGATTTGCAATTTTCTTTGTCTTTTCCTTTAACTTTGTATATAAGTTTTGATTTCGGCTTGAGCAATGCGCTCTTATTTTCCTGCGGCATCTTTGTTGGTTCTAGTATGATATCTCCTTCTGTTTCGATTCTCCCTCTTTTTCGTGTATGGAATGAACTAGTTCGGATGGTCCATGAATGATATGTTTGTCGTTTTTGCCTAGTCATCATCATCGCTTATCACTTTGCACTATTAGTATAGAGCTCTGATGTTGTTGCGATGTCTGATGTGTAATGACACTTAGCAATATTCTGGGGCTCCTCTCACCACCACTGGGATAGAGGGCTTGCGGAAGGGCTATTCTCCTTTTTTTTGTTTTACAAATAAAACAGAAACAAAAGAGGGTGGAAATAACAAATGAATTTAAACCACCAGTCTGTTTCGCAACCATTTTTCTCTGATTTGGGGTGGGGCCATTAAAAACGAAAATGCCTCCGTTCGATTTCTTTTGGCCCACTAGGCATTTCCAAGCTTGCCAAAGAAATGGTGAAAAGAACTGGTGGCTTAAACCACCAGTACTTGGTCCAGCTATCGATGCTGAGCCTGAAAACGGGTTGCGCGCCGTTTCGCGCCCACCTGCCAGCTCAACAAGAAAAAATTGTTTCGGCTGGCGGCACCAGCCTGTGAGGGCCGGTACCCCAAGCCTCTAGAAGTTTTGGGGCGTTAACAACAACGCCCCGCGACCGATGTATGGGCCAAGTACTGGTGGTTTAAACCACAAGTACATCCAGCTATCGGCTGCGGACGCGTGTCAGAATCTGAAAAGCGACACAGGCCACCAATTTTTTTTATCGACGGTGCACCTGCGCCATCTTTTTCGGATGGCATCTCGTAGGCGACAAATTTCTTTTGAGCAAGGCTTGGGCTGTGTACTAGCGGTTTAAACCACCAGTAGAAACGTGCTGCACACCAAAAGAAATGAACGGGCTTGGGCCTCCTTTTGGCTGGTCCCGTCAGCCATTTTGCTCTGAAGGCCAAGCCCCGAACGTTTTGGCAGAGTCAAGCTGCAACTTTGAAAAAATAGCTGGGAAACGTACTGGTGGTTTAAGGAGGAATGGCTGGGAGAAAGCGAGGTAATAGCAGGTCTGGAAGGTGAGCAGTTGGTCGGGAAGGAGTTTCGAAGGAGTGGCAGCGAAACGAGAGACCATAGCAGTGCAAACCGTTTTCACACCTCTACATCCCCACCACTGCTACTGCTCACTCATTTGTCCTTGCCCCCACCTGAGCCCCAGCCACTGACTCCCTTATCCGGCTTGACTCGCCCCTGACTCTTGGCCAAGCAGTTTTCTTTACACGCACCCAGTATCCAGCAAACAATGGAGTAAAAATGATAAAAAAAGCAGCGGGACACAACCATCCACCCACAAAGATTGAATTGGGTTGTTGCCAAATGCAAGCAGCTGGTCTTAGCGAGGGCACAAGGATTAAACCACCAGTACCTTTCCCTGCTTGAAAATCAATTCGGCACTGGGCTACGCGGAAGACTTTTGGGGGTTGGGAAAGACCCGGTAGTGCAACAGGGGACGAAGCCAGTGGGCCCAAGGAAAAGGGGCAAATGGACTTCTTGTTTTCATCTTGGTTTAACCGCAGGGTGATGAGGTGTGGGGGAAGGACAAATAAAGTAGATGGGGTCGGGGAGGAATCATGACTTCCAGGACTTGTTCTGGCAAAAACGAGTAAAGTCAATCCCCTTGAATGAGGATTATCTGTGAAGCTTATAGAGTTTGCCTCTGTGGTGCTTTCACACCGAACCCGGTTTCCAGCAGGTGTTGCTCCCCACCAATACATTGGAGCCATCACACAAAACAAAAAAAACACCGTACTGGCTTTCCAGCGAGTGTTGCTCCCCACTGATAGACCAGAGACAAAAACTAAAAAGACAACAAAAAAGATTGGATCTTTTTGCATTAAACCACAAGTGTGTTTCCCAGCCATTTTTTCAAAGTCATGGAGTGCATGGAGCCACTACTTTCGGAGCTCTGCCTCCAGAGCAAAATGGTTGTCAGCTCCAGCCGAAAGGCGGCCCACGCCAGTTCTTTTTTTTTTAGGTGCACAGAAGTTCTCCGCCCCCGAGGAAAGTCCCTCGGAAGTACGGGTCGGTCAAACAAAAAGACAAACAGATGATGGATGCTCACCTATGAAGAGAAGGATGATGTTCGCTATGGGGAGCTTCAACAATGAAAAGAGAAGGGGAGATTCACGCCTCCTCGAAGAAAAATGCACCTCTTCATCTTCTTTTCTTTCTTTTGCAAACAGAGAATCAGTGGCAATAAACAACCCAGTCTTGTCCACTATTTGGTACAAGACGACTTTCTGGGAGATCCCGGAGAAGCAACTTACAAACCTACGGGCAGCATTAGCAGCGTACCTCTGGAGGAATGACCGTGAGCTTACCCGATGCATCAGAAGAGTCGCATGGAAATATGTGACACAACCAAAGAAGGTGGGAGGATTAGGCATCCTTGACCCGAGGGACCAGATTAGAGCCTTGATGTTTAAAGTGATCATACGCCTCCTGCAAGCCAACGATGTGTCGTGGCTGCCGCTAGCACACATACAACTAGCGCACCTGGCCCCCCTCTCCCACCCTGACCATCCGGTTCATCCGCTCTGGTGGCTCATCAGCACAGACTGGTCTGTTCCGACTCCCCCGCGTCATAAGAGGGATGGGACGCATAGAAATAGCACAAGATGGGATATAAAAAATGACCCTTTGTGACCATCAATGCTGGAATTGTGGAGGCACATGGGGCCAACCAAAAAAGTAATCTCCGCTTAGGTGGCAGGAAATATGGAGACAACCAATGTTCAGGAACCCGTTCATCTGCGACAGCAATGAGAAGTCTTTCTTCCTAACTGCGAACTCTCATTGGTTAAGGGTGCGAAACGGTATCTATACCCTTGGAGATTTATGGGACTGCCATACAGGGTCATGGAAGTCGACCCAACAACTACGTCACACCCTGAAATACATCAAAGGAAGCCAATGCAAGTTGCAACAATTACAAACGGTTGTCCCACCTCTGTGGGTAACTACTTTGCAACAAGGACCAGGGCTTCACCTAACCCGATCCCCGTAAACATCTTCAGGGTGTCACACATCATACATGACAGTGTGCAGCTGCACGCATACGAACCGGACGTGCCAGGAGCAAGGTCGGTCGCCCTGAAAAGGAACCAGCTATTGGATTGCACAGTCCCATAATTTGAACTTATCAGAATCAGAGTTGTGGGATCAGAAGACACAGGTTACCATGCATATGAGATGTCC